AAATCCTCTGACTTGGAAGCATTGCTACCAATTCGGAAGAATTACATCGACCTAATTGATATGATAATCAAGCCTGGAGGCTGCATTTCACAGGTACAACAGTCACATCGCAGCTTTGGAAAGGGAATATAACTGTAGGAAATGAAAGCGATTAACAGTTGTTTGTATTACAGGGATTGTTTGGCCTATTTAATGTCCCTATCAAAAGGTGCATTATTTGTAGAGCAATCCTAAAAGGAAATCAAAAAGAAACTTAAAGAACGTTGCTAATCCTTTCTCGCTATGACATTTAAAAGCCAGCAAAGAGTTGTGCTTTGCCAATCGAAACAAAAATATTATCTTTCCCATGACCTTGGCTGGGCTAGATTTCAGCCCAGCTAACAGCACCTATGCCTTCAGCCAAAAGATATCCTATAGGAGTATTACAGAAGCTGAAAGGTGAGTGTGCTTGGTTTACTTCTGTAGAGCACTAGCTCTGCATTAGGCCATGACTACCAGCTGATTTTGTGGCTGGTACTGGGATTTCATGGGACGATTGGCTGTGGCTGAAGGAGACTAGATTTCGTGGCCCCAAAAGTCTCTTCTGGCCTGATACCACTCTGCTGCTAATTAAGACCACAAACTTCAGCTACTGAAAGAAACAGCCATGTGGCTCTTAGCAATCCTGCAGTGTGACTTGTAAAAGCAGAAGAAAAGAAAAGCGATGTTAAAAATACCATGCAAAATCTAAAGCTGGAACAGAACCGGCTTTTACCTCTTTCAGTCCAAACTGAGTTCACTGGATACAGTATTATTTTGAATGGAACAAATAAACCTCAAAAATTTTATAATGAATACCCTTTCTACACATTTCTACCAGGCAGTCTATAAAACTGGGAATGAGAGATGTCATTCTTAAACACAGACCGCAGGACACTTTTCTCACAACTCTAATAGCAAGGTATCGTTTTCTATTCGATCCTATTTGGCTTTTCCATAAGGAACTGTAAAAACCTCTCTCAAAATCCTGGCACTAGTGTATACAATAGGAATTCTAACACTGACTCTGCTGGAGCAGAATCTCCCCCTTCAAGAATAAAGCCTTGGGAGTTAAAAAAAACAGTGTGTTGGTTTTGTTGCTGAGCCAGCTGTTTAACTCCACCAGCTAGCAGAAACAAAGGGAAATCAAATAAAACTATACAGCACATGTTCCTTTTGGATAAATAAGCCCAAACCCTTTGGAATTTATGGCTCTACACTATCCCTACCTGATAAGTCATATAGAAAGCTGCAGCTGCAGCTATCAGCAATCATGTAAATAAATTTTATTATGCTGTACAATATTAGTACAGTTAGACACACTAATCATGGGAGATGGGGAGGTTGCTATTTTTTTCTGTCCCATATGGCAATAATTTTGTATGATTGAACTGTTATGAGCTAAATAAAACTACATATTAACTGTAAGATACATTGCAAGTACATTAAATCTTCCCTGGAGTTTCAGCAAATACTCGCTTTTTCTATGATGCATTTGGAATTAGCAAAGGAATCTACACTGGGCCATAGGCTTTATAAATAGATTTGGCTTCCTCTGCAATACTTTATGGGCAATTATTTCAGAAATGAAGATGCAGAGACACAAATAAATAAAATAATTGCAGCTGATCAGGCTTTATTTACCATTATCGCATTTCCCTGACTGTTAAGCATCCCTCCTCTCATTTACTCCACTAGCCTGAATCAATGACCAGATGAAGAGTTGTCAGTAAATGTCAAACACTGAGCACAAAATGTGCCAAAGGCAGATTCTGGTTTCCCCATTTCCAGATCCTGCCTGGGCCCTTGTGGAGCTGTCTTGCTCCCTGGACAAATTCAATGAGGAATTGCGAGGCTGGGAAAGGGCAGAGCAAGTAAGATGAGTTCTGCAGGGTTTCTCGAGCAATTTGCCAGAGAGCATTTTGCTGTGACTCCTCTGCAGAAGTCACTGCCAAAGGTCTGGAGACCTGCCCTTCCACCAGCAGATGCCCAGCTGTATCAGGGAAGGGTTTGCATTGTCTTTCCTGTCTGCCACAATCCTGCTCAAATGGGTATTAATTCAGTTTGGAAGATGCTGAGTACAGCTATCTATAGCAAAAACAGCTTTCCAGGTAGTGCAAACGAATCAAAACCAGGCAGAGATTGGCTTCATGTCTACATATTACTCCCTAAGTACTTCGCAACATGCAGCTTTCAAAACTTCACATTCCAGACCGGGGAGGAAACCCCAGATTATCAATTTCCCTTGGGATCAGGCCTGAAATCCGACTGATGCCAACAATATTCTCTAAAAAAAAGTGGCTTGGTTTAACTTAGAGATGCCCCCTCCATCACTAAGAAGTAAACTGAGGCCCCACTTTTTATTCGTAGATGGGCACTCGGTACTATTTAATCACTGCATTACCTGGAGTTCATGAAGAAGGTTGCTTGTATGATGAGGCTTATCAACTCAGGAGAAAGAAAAGCGTTATTTCTGTTGCTTTGAAAAGCCATGAAGCTGGTAACACAGTAACACATATGGGATACATAGGATACATCACATGGAGACATCCTGATTATCCACCAAGAGCTTCATTCACCGAGCTGACCTCAGATGCAGCCACCAGGATATTTTATGGTCCTCAAGCTAAGCTATGTAGAAAAAAATGTCCTTTACACTGCCAGAGATGGCTGTCCCTGCTCTGTGAGCTCCCTATAGCCCCCTGTCCTGGGAGGGCACACCCAGCTTTGTGAAGCCTGGATCAGAAGGATACCCTGCAGTAAAGAGGAAGCACCAGAAACAGCCTGGAAGATATCTAGGGTCTGAAGAAGGTCCTATAAGAAGAAGTCTCATAGATTTAAAACCCGATTTGTTTTTTTTATTTTATTTCTAGGCTGCTTATTTCTGTACAAAGAAATGATGCTGCAAACCTCTTGAAGAACTTCACCAACAGTCCGTAAGCTGGTGAAAGAGGCCAATGGGACCATATGCCAAAGGAGCTAGAAAGATTTATGCTAGCCAAGCATCTGGCTCCTTGTTCACTGTTATCAGAATGAGACAAGTGCTTGCAAATATCCTTATTCAAAATCACTAATGTGTTCAGGGATGCTCCGCACAAATGCTGCAGCATTGCTACTGTAAGGTGTGGTGCCTGGGAACACAGCTGCTGGGTCCTCTAATGCTGCTTTTTCCAGTGGTATATTTAATGCAAAGAGCAATGAGAAAATACGGTGTTGCTGCCCTTCAAATCAAGCAAAGGGAATGATTAAGACATCATTTTCTGTTATTGTTCTAGCAGATGGTAGTAACCGCTTCTACACAGGAACATGGCTATACCTCTATCATCATCCATCATCTTGCTAAGGCTGTGTATAGCACAGTAGAAATGGTAAACTTTTTATTTGACCTCATTAGCATTCCCAGAATTACAGTGTCATACCAATGATAAAGATTGAGGTTATCTGCGTCTGAGCAAAGGGAGAAGAAACAAATCACACGCTATGTAAAAAGCCAACAGAGCAACCACAGTTCTGCCAAATACTTAAAGGCTGCTTGAACCCACCTGGTTCCTGATTCTGCATGTGGGAAAAGACACAATTAAGAATTGTGCCTATACACATCAAACTTGCAGACACAGGGGATAGACCCATGCGTTGGTGATCTGCTTAACTGAGCATTCAGGAGAGGGCAGAGAGAGGAAAGGAAGATGCTGGAGTAGGTGCTCTGATACCTCCTTCCTGACTCATCAGTATTATCTGTGCTTCCTCTGACCTCTCCCAGGCAACCACTGATCCACTAGAAACATGAAGAAATTTGTGTGCAATTTTGGGATATAGCACAGAGGCATTTGGCTTTTGCAAAAACACCTCGTGCTGCCTGGAAGTTCATAGGATTTCCTTGCTATTCCCAGGATGAATGCACATAGAGAAGGGTCCTGTTCAAACTTGGGTTGAAGGAAAGCGAGACCAATTCTTTGCCACTTCTTGCAGTCAAATAAGATCAAGGCAAATCTGTAGTTGTCTGAGGTCAGTCTATAGCTAAATCTATAGTGAAACAGGGAATTTCTCAGTCTCCAGCCAGCAGCTGTGCTCCCCTCTATAGCTGTAACACAATGCCAACGCATATTCCAAACCACTCGTTCTCAGTTACTTCAGTCTTTCATGGACCATCTTAGAGGAAATTACAGTGGGAACAAAGGAAGGAAATTAATTTATTATTCCAGTGGTACCCTTGACACAGATACTGAGTAGCTTCATTAAGCATTTTGCAGCCCCAAGTGTCTTTGCTAAACCCTCTACAATAAGCACAGAGTCATTTTCCTTATTACAACACAAACACACAGGTCAGGATTCAGAACTCATTTACATCTGCTTTGTATCTCAGTAACTTCCCTCATCTCAATGGGATCCAGGCAGGCACAAATCAAGGCTGTATCATCCTATTCCTTCCCTTTCTCTCTAGATTCATTACCTTGCAGTACTAGTCTCAGATAAACTCATTTTCACAGAGTCAGCATAGCCACAGCCAAATGACTAATACAATCCTTTAATACAAACAACAATAAATCAATGGATTAAACTATAATTTATCAGACAAATACCATTCAGGTCTCATAAAGCTGCTCTGAACCATCTCTCTCATCTGGCCGTATTCCAGAGGAGCACTGACACTAGATAAAGCTCAGATCTGTGGAGTAAGTTTGTATAAGAAAGAAATGCTGGAAACATCCTGTATTTATGCTGGGAGATTTGACAGAGATCAGAGTGAATAACATTCCTGAGAACACTGTAATGTATTTGAAGCCTTCTCAGTGTCTCTTCCAAAGACCAGTCTAGCAGGGCAAGGTTTCAACAGACCCTGAAGCTCTGCACTTAGCAGCAAGCCTAGGGAACTCAACACATTAACCTCGACAGATACTACAGCAAACTTTTAACAGCTTAGAAAATAGCAACAGCCTATTCCAACACCATTTCACTTTACAACACAGACCTTTTTTACTTACTTCATTGGTTTGAACAATGCTTGTCCGTAGTTCTGGAACGTCATGATCAGCTTCAGCTGGGTGCCTCCCGATTTCATCGCTGTAGGAAAAAACCAAAACTGCTTTAAAATGCTACATGTGGATCTACTTACATTCAGTTTCCTTGAAATAAAATAATGTCTCTTTTGCTCTGTATTAGATTCAGCACTGCGGTATCTGAGCACCAAGCAGAGTAATCCTAACCGGGCAACAGATTATTCAGCAGGGGCAGAGTACAGGGAAGGGCTCTGAGCTGCCAACCAGGACTAAAAATGGATTGTACTCCCCAACATGTCTTTGTCTTCTTCATTTGGCCACTGTGGGCTCTGTAAGCACCTTAACTGAACAGCATGCATAGGAACAGGCGTTGGAGACTTTTCTCCATCTTCAATTGCTTTTGGAGTTCCTTTTAACATGGGACACACATTGGGAAAGGAGATGGGGTGCTATCGAAGACAAGTGCAGCTGGGATGTACAGTCCAATGCGCAGCAGTCATCTCCTTAATTAACAGTATGAGATATTATAGCAATCTCTGATCTCTGCTGCGATTTTATTAACTGCTGCTGAGTAGTAGAGATATGTAAATTCATCTCCTCTATGCACAATGGATATGTATCCAAGCTCATCCAGTAACTTCCAGGGATCCCAAGGCAGTTCATACAAGAAAGCAGACCTGTGCAGAGCAGGTTGCTGGCTCTGCTGGGAGGGTAGGAGGGGACATGTGGAGGCAGCAAGGACTGAGGTCCACACTGCACACCAAGGGCCATCTTTACTCAAACATTAAATACGCTCACTTCCCAGCTGAGAGCTAATGGGAATGTAAGACTGACATTTGTTCAAATCAGTCTGAACAATTTGGACAGTATCATGTTAATAGACAGATCATGCTGTTTCTAAAGTCAGAGCAAGGGGTTTTTTTATATAAGAATTCATAAAAATGCATTTTACTTAATTATAAGGCTACTGAAAAAGGATAAATACATACTTCGGCAAACCAGCTGCTTTTTTACCATCTCAAACAAAACCACTCTGAATAAATGAAATTACCTCCTTTATTCACTTCTGTGTTCAGAGAGGCAGGCCATGGCAGTTGTGTCTGTGTGGATGAGTTAGTCCTTTAAAAATGCTTCCTAAGAATGATCAGATAATTAAGCCCTTTCTTTACAGTTCTGACAAAACCCATGTCAACTGGAGAATAACATAAATGTCAAGTTACCTTGCTCTGCAAGTTTTATCTTAAAGCTGCCCTTGCTACACCTGTATAGCTTGTACATTTTTGTCTCTAACCAATGCTATTAGCTGCACATCCCTTTAATTACTCATCTCTGTGCCTTATTAATGATAGGTCATCAGCTCCCTTTCAGCATTTGTAACCTATATTTTTGCAAGAAAATGCTACACAAATCTGGTGAGTGTAATTATACTTTTCCTAGAATAAAATCCCTCCTGCCTGGCTGTTTTGCTGATCCCAGCCTTCTCTTGCATTTCTACTTTATCCCAAAGGAACAAATACATAATTAGAAATTAAAGGGCATTAAAGTTTGCACTGAACAGGTAAAGCAAAAGAACATGGCTTGTGCAGAACAGGTCAGTTGATCTGCACCTGAGCGAAGAAGGCACTGAGAAGCAGCAATCCTTCACCCACAAACCTACACACGGACCATCACAGCCCAGCTGCGCACCCCGGACACACTCCTGGTTAGTCTGCACAGCAAACAAGGAGCTGGAGCTCCCCTTACCTCATAACTTCAGGGACACATGGTCCTGCCCAGGAGCATCCCTACCACCTTCCCAGCCCAGCCGCTGCTGAAGCCACGGGATTTGCTCAGCTCTTTAAGGCACAACCATGCACTGCTGTTTGCATGGGCTATCTCCAAACAGGTCAGCAATACCAGCCCCAGAACCAAAGGGCAGAACTGCCTCCTCTCTGTCAGATGTAACTCTCTCCAGCCCATAAACCTCAACACAGCTGCTTGCAGACTGCTCACACCAACTGAAGACTCTTTTTTTCTCCAAAATTGATGCAATTTATGCTTTTTCATTCAATTCTGAGGAGCTCATGGCTTGGAGATTGGCTCCATCTCATCTGAGAGACGTTTATGTCCAAAATACACCAAAGATCCTGTAAGCCCATCAGAGAAAAGCCAAAGATAGAGCCTATTTTGCGGTATAGCTGGGAAGCCAAGCTTTTGGGAAATCACAGCAATGCTAAGAAGAAAAGATATTCCAGCATGCCCTTTTGAAAGCACAAAGTTTCAGATACACTAAGAAGACTTGTTTCTCAGAAAATTGAAGCCACTCAACAGATGATTTTTTAGCAGATGAACTCAACCACCAGTGTGTCATCACCAAGCAGACAAACGTATGAAGATTAACAATTCAGAATAATTCTTCACAAAGGCCTGGTTTCCTGACAGAAGGAATTATACTGAAGTAAGACAAAAGCATCTAAAAAGCATGGTCTCTTTAGATCCATTTTATTGTATTATTGCCTTAATTGGTTGCAATAGTAGCCTTGACCAAACACAAGTTTTGCTGGCATGTTGTCCCTCCGCTGCTGCTGCTAGGAGTAAACTTTGGACCTCCCCAAAATAGAGGGTGACATTGGTGGGAATGGTGTCCCATCATGCCTTCCAGCAGGCATTGTGAACAACAACCCATGCCAGAGCTCCATGTTGGCTTCTCCTCACATCATCTGTATTCACACGCAGATATTCCCACTCTGGCTGCTTGCTCAGTGCTGGCCAGGCTGGAGATGGTTCAAAGCCACCCTCCAAATCCAGACTAGCTACAAGCTAACATTGTAATCCCTGCAAAGAGAAAAACACCTCATTTTAGACTGTCCTGTTGAGCTCAACACAACCCTTCATGCACCTCTAAACTAAACTTGGGAGCAGTCCAGATTGCCCAAATCTTGAGGGTGGCAATGTCAGAAAAGAGCAGATCTCATTGGAGATGATTCTCTCAGACCTCTATGTCAGATTACTTCCCTTGTCCTAACTTAGTGTTACATCTGCATATTGACTTCCCTCTCATTTTCTAGGCTATATTATTCCTTCAGTAACTCCCTTTCCTTCTCAGACCTCAGTTAAACCGCTATGGCCAACCTGCGGGAGCCCCATCATCTTCCAGGAGCTTATCCCAAACACTGTTTGCTCACCTAGAGATGCCCTTGTGCCTTCACCTACTGCCCACAGGAACATTACTGAAGAATTTATAAAACCCACAAGCAGCATATACTGTTTTCCAAGAAATGTCACATTCATGATCAGCAGGCTTAGGTATTTTTAAGAAGGCCTTGCAATGTGAAGCTGTTCTGACTCCAAGGGAACCACTAGTCACGCTCTGAATTCACCATTTTTTAAGGTTTATGAATATACTGTAACATCACAGGTCAAGAACAGCTCCATAAAAGACTTTAAAAATCTGGTGGCTCACAGCAGGTACCTCCAATCACGTCTCATACAGCTCCTGGACATACTGGCACAGTGTTAAAAACAAATCCCAATACCATCATTGTTTTTTATCTTCAGGCAACTCAAAATCTCTTTTTTCCCCACAGAGTAGAAGGAAATGGAAAGCAGCATTAACCCTTCCTGTTAAACCACTTCAAGGGCTTTCAGATATGATGAGAAATCTTCCTAATTTTAGGAGGCTTTGCAAAATATTCTGAGATATATTTTTTGCTTGAGTACAAGACTAGTGAAATTGGTGGGATTCCTTCTGTTTTCTCTGACGGACTTTGAATCAAGCCTCCAAAAATCCTCACTCCATTTACATCTATGAACCAGTTCTCACAGCCCCATGCCATGTCTGCTACTTCCCCATCTTGTCTCCTTACCCATACAAGATGCAAATTCCCTTCCTGATCCACAGACACCATCCAATATAAAACATGTACAACCTATCATTTCCAAATCATCTTTTTGTAACTGTGTGCTAGTGTTTCTGGCTAGCATCTGGTACTAACTCCTAGCAGAGGCACAATGTTGCCCAAAGGGATTTGACTCAAAAGGATTTGGAATTTAAACTGGTCTCGCTTTCAAGCTCCTCTGTTTTGCATGATAGCCCTCATCCTACTGGCCTGTCCAGACCATATGGTCTTCTGATGGAGAGTAAGAGTCCTGACAGGACCTCTGAACCCGGTCAGGATCCACGAACTTTTAAAAATGTATTTAATTATGCAATGCTAACGCCTGAGAAGTGAGATCCAGTCAAAGCCTGGGACGCAGTTAACATCTGGAACCAAGGACATTCAGATCCATTTTGGATTCCTATTTATAGATCAAGCTTAAATTTAACATAAATGTGCTGGTTGGCTTTAAAAAGTAATACTATGCCCCAGGCTACAGACATGGCCCTGTACATGCTGTAAAGAACATATTTCAGAACAAATTCAATCCCTCATCATCTCTTAATTAGTTCTTGTTGAGCCAATTCTGCTAACTTGTTTTTAAAGGCCTTTCTTGGTTTAGTCAAGAGAGTAAAAGACTTGCGGAGGGGAAGAGATCTGTGAAATCATTCAGAGGCTTTGTTGTACATGTTAAGTCCCCTCCTTTCATCTGGAATTGTACATTAAATCAATCTGTTGACTCTTGGCAGATTTATTGTTTTCTTATACAGTAAATCAATGGCACTACATTTAATAATGTTTTTCACATGTTCTCAACAGCATTTTTTCCCTTCTTTTGGATGAGATTTTAATAATTTCCTTTAGCACCAGAATTCACATTCAATATTAAGCATCTTGGTTTTGCTGTTTTTGAGGGGCTTTTTTCCCTGGCTTGAAGCAGACTCCACCTGAGTTAATTGCAGCATTTATTCACTGTGTGAGTAATCTTGCATGCTTGCTTTCTAATCACTGCATGTGCAAACTGAAGGCATTGCAGGTTCAGAAGTAGCAACAAAGTCAGGTAATGTTTCCAAACCTTTCCAACCAGTGAATTTAAAGAATCAAAAAGTAAAACCCAACTAAACACAAGAATTACAAAAACTTATTCTGCTCACAGGCAATCCCACAACACAGCTCCTCTGGACACTAGTACAGTGAAGATCAAAACCACACTGCCTCTACAATGCACCATGCCATATTTGTTGTTAAACTGCTGACAGTGCTACCACGATTATGCACAGACATCTTGTAAATATGCAAGAAAATATCTAACTATGGTTATTTATGCATGCAATAAACAGTTATGATAGGCAAAGGTAATATGTAATTGCCTGTCCACGTGCTTCTTCTGAAAACTGTTTCAGTGCTCAATGGAAAACCAATTCTCACTAGGCTCCTATTTCCGGCAAGAGGAAATTTGCAGTGAATTAAATCAAATTAAGAGCTATCCCTTTATGCTGAACAAAATGAATATGAAATACATATATCGGTGCAGGGCACAGAATATATCTTCAGCTTGAAAGCTCTGGGTAACCCTGTCCTTTTCAAGGCCAGCTCTAGGTGTCACTGTGGGAGCTGAATGTGATGCTCCTTCCCATCCATGGATTTGTTCCATTTAAACTTTAACATCAAGAAAATGTCACCTTGGTGCTCCCTGCTCTTGGGAATTGCTTCTGTCACCGTTTTCATTTTAAAATAACACTGCACGTTGCAGAGTTGTGTGAGCAGTTCTAATAGATGGCGGGGGATCAATGTGGTCAACACTCTTCGCCATAAATAATGCAAGCTGAGAAGAGAAATGACAATGTGGCTAAGAAATCTGTTTAGCTGCAGATTGGATCTAATTACTATAGGTATCAAGAACTCACATGGCAAATCACCTAATTCTATTAGAGCCAAAGCAAATCTGGACACTGGGAAGAAACTGGATAAAGCAATATCCTACTTCATGTAATGCATGTGAATGTATATAATTAATTACCCTGCTTGCAAAAAAGAAGCCTGAAGATTGGGCATTATGAAGGTTTCCATTTATTTTATACTTCTAACCTGGCATCTTTGCAGCTGCCTTAAAAAAATAAAAACAACAAAACAACAAAAATTGACCGTAAGAAAAAAAAAAAAAAAAAAGACAAATTAAAAGATATGCAGGAATATGCAAAAGAACATAACAGCCCCATAAATGTCCTTTGGTCAAACATATTACTCTTCATTAATCAGCTTACACCCTTTTGAATCCCTGCTGCTGCTCTGCAGTAAAGTTGAAAACTGGCAAGTATTATTTTAAAACATGTATTTTTAAACACTCAAAGAATTTGCCACATAAAAGATGCTGCACTGTGTAATAAAAACAAACAAACAAAAAGAAGTATAGTATATTAACAAAATGCTCTTTTTTGCTTTGCAACCTGACAAAGCTCCTAAATCCCCACAGGGGCAAGCACTACTGCTAATTCAGTAAAATTCAGATCCTGGCATCGCTGCATTGGCAAACGTCCCCTTCCATGTCCATGCACTTGATTTTAGACTGGGATTTATGTGTAGGAATCACTCCCTGTCAGCTCCCACAGTGTCCAACACCAATACCAAATGTACCTCATGTTTTAATTTATGGAAATTACACTGAATCACTGATAGAAACCATTGCTCTGAGTTTTTCTTATGGGCATAAGAGGCCCTATCATGTTCTGAAGAGCCTTCTTCAAACATTAACAGAGAGACAATCCCACAGGAAATCACTAAAACCAATCATAAATCTTCCTCCTCTGTGGTCCTAGAGCCCTTTCACCCCACTGATCTGAGAGCTCTATCAAAATCATAATTAATGGAAACCTCATGACACATCTATACAACACATTAGGTGAAATCATGGCCCCAGGGAAGTAAATGGCAAAACTTCCACTTATGTCACCAGGGTCAGGACTTCACTCCTATTTTTTTGATAACCATTCTGCTGCTAGGTTAACTGAAGCATACAGAGGTTAAGCAACATGCCCGGAAGCACAAGTAAAGATCAAGTGAAGAGTGAGTACTAAATTATTATTTTTCATTCCTACCTCCCTTTTTCTGCCACCAGTTTCTATGTCCCTGCATAACCTTAGCATCCCTCTGCTCTGCAGAAGTGACAGATTTCATGGCTCAAACGCTGCCAAGTGTGCTACAAACACTGCTCTCCTCCTGCATAGACAACACAGCTGAACTCTGAAGTGTTGAAGAGGTAAATAGAGATCTATACTCTTAGCAGCCATGCAGTACAAAACACCACTACGGCCAATGCATTTTGTGTAAACCTCAGCAGATGACCAAAAGGTGGTTTGGCTGAGCACCACCTCAGCCCAGAGCTGGGGACAGCCTGGTAAGTGCCTGGGACACTGCTGCTCCCTGCGGATGATGGGGAAAGGCACAACCTGCATCTTTTCCTCCTCCATGGATGTGCTTGAAGACCAATGTTAATGTTAACACGTGTTACCAAGTGCTGACTCAATCCCCATTCACACATGTCACTAACATTCCAGAAATCAGTTGGTATTGAGGGGAGAGGTCAAGAAAGGTGAGGGCTATGTCAAGGGGAAAATCACCAGTGCCCTTGTTATCCTCCAGCACAGACCAGAGGAGCATGGGCAGAGACTGCTGCTACCTGCAGTGTCACACCTGAGCTATAGAAGGGAAATACATGGCCTAATTGTCAAACCTGAGCTCCTTAATGAATCACTCCAATCCAGAGTTTTGGGGACAGAAAACCCATCACAGGTTAACAAATGAGCCTGTGTTGTCATCTTTCATGAACTAGGTGTCCATTGGACCCTTGACTCCAACATGTGAGATAGGTACCAAAAACTGCTTTATTTCAAATCCTGCCCCAACAGAGCACAGAGCAGAGCTGTGTGCTGTGTAGAGCCACTGGGCAGCTCAATTCATGGAGGCAAAGCTCTCCTGTGGCATCCTGCCTTTGACACCTACTCCATCCAGATCAGCTAAATGAGCCCACTCTTGATGACCAAGGATCTCCCTTATTCCTGCTCAGCAGCTGCTGTGATTCACACAAAGGAAAATGTAAACCATGGAGCTGCTCATGCTATTCTAGCCCAGGCCATTTCCTAAATTTTTGCCTTGCAGGGTTAAAGACCTGCTGACCTCATCCCGTGGTGCCAACACACCATCAGCACTTTTACAGAGCTCCTGCTATTTCATCCCTCTGAAACGGACTTTGTGGTCAGCGCAAGTAACTTCATTTTCTGCACGGCCAACGGAAACCACTGCATGTGCTACAGCTCTCCACCTCTGGAAACCACGGGCTGTGCATTTGTTTAGTGTCCCAGCGCTTTCATTTGGGGTTGGGGTTGTTTTTTCCCAGCACGTTTACGCAGCTAAATTCAAGGAAAGACACGTTGTCATTAACCAGCCCTGGAGAAAAGCCCCGAACTGTGTCACCTTGTTTAACCAGAGTCAAGGGTTGATATGGGCACATCCCTGTTGTGGATTTACAAGCAGAATAAACAGAGCTGAACTCTGCTCAGCGGGAGGCTGGAGCTCCCTGCACGATGCCTGGGGAAGATGCAGCTCTGTTGAGCTGCAGAGCCCCGCGGTGCCAGATGCTCCCGCAGCCATCACTGCAGGGCTGCAGGTCAGCTGCCTCACTCCTTCCTCAGGAAGAGGAGTGCTGCCAGACACAGCCTTTTAAATAATAATCAGCTAATAACACCAATCTAGCTCCTGCAAGATGCTACCTGCTTTTTGCCATCTTTTTTTATTACCCTATTTATTTTAAATAACCAAACAGGGCACTTTCAGTGTGATCGTGTCTAAAATATCTCTGAAATGAATGGGGTTTGTCTCAGCGGCAGACTTGGCAATTATTCAGGTAATACAGAGCTGGCAATATCTCTTTATGTTTAACAGGGAAAATGAGCGCAGAAGTCGGGAAGCAATGTTGTAGGCACGCCGGAGAGAAGCCATGCAAAATATTAATATTCAAACAGCAATGAGATCCTGAACAATGAGCAAATAACGGTAAAAAATTATACACATATCTGAACATACCAACACTGGTTATCTTTTGGGAGACCAGGTCTTGCAGTAAAGCCTCAATTGCAGGATTATGTCTGGAATACAACTCGTACCGATTAATGCCAATGTGGAATTTTAACCAGTTTGGGTAGGAGTCTATGGAGGTTTCTCCAGTTGGCAAAAATTCTTCATTATCTTCATTTTGCCTACCACCAAAAAAAAAAAACAAACCAATAAAGAACACCACAACAAAAACCCAAAAAATGAGGAGAAAGAAATAATGTTACAGTTTGTAACAGGCATCAAGAAACAGGGCTTCAAATGTGACAACCTGGAAAGGCAAAGCACTACAGTGCAGCCTGCTCCCACCTGGGGCTAAATGGGAGATGGGTTTTCACCTCCACTCATCATGCCTGATTTAAAGCCCAGGAAAGTCAGGAGCTAAACTCGGAGTGACATCACTGAGCATTAGCAGAGGCCCTTATATAGCAGAAACACAGAGCTGCAAGTTTTAGGTTGTATTATGTTGCACGTATCTTTTACAAGTTTGACCCAAAGGACAGCATCATCCTGAACCTTTATTTAATGGGGACCTGAGTCTGGAAACTGAGAGTGAAGCAGTAACCTGACCTGTTGTACCAAATGCTCCTAATCTCTCCTCTTTTTAAACAGAGAGAATGAGAAGAAACTGGATCACTCCAAACTGGTTGCAAAGAATAACTCTGGATGGTTTTGCCCCTTCCCTAGCAGTAGGATACTGTTACAGAAAATGACTGTTAAAATGACTTTTAACTCTTAAATTCTTATTAGTTCTGTGAACTCTGGCTGCAGCCACTAAGGCAAATATATAGAAGAGGCGGCTGCATTGTGGACATCAATGATAGTTTCACTCTTCACCTACAGCATAAACCATCACGTATCTTCAATCCAGAAGTCCTCCATGGTTTTAGTCATCTCCGTATGATCATACATTTGTGACTTTTTTTTTCCCCTCTCATAAACCAGAACTTTTTCAGGCTATTTCACTTCACAGACAGTTTTGATTCTTAGATGGAAGGGGCCTGGACAATTCACATACTCACGGGACGGAAATCAGAAATACTTCTCTTCTCACACTGGCTGCTCCGTGGCTTGACAGAGCTTTTGCACAGTACAATGCAGCTGTTTAAAGATTACAGTGTCAGTGTGTTTGAAAGAGGGTGCTGTTGTATTAGACAACCCTTTTGATTTTTCAGTCATTGAAATTTCTCAGCATTTCTTACAAGCCAACAGGGCATAGGATTCACAGAGGCAACCAACTGCTTTGAAGGCTGGAGAGCAGCAGAAGTGCTAGGACTCTGGGAATTAATTGAGGATGAAAAATGGTGCACAGATCAGATCCTGAAGGCAGAAATACCTGTCAGGATGAATGCCTTTCCAGTACCAGACCTTGCTTTTAAGAGAAGTTCATGTGTTACTGCCTGGTCTCACTGCTGAGCTTCTAAGACTGGGAGGCCAGAAAGGTGCTGGAGAGGCAGGCTCACTCTGCACTCATCCTCTTTCTACCTTTTTCTGGTAACATCTGCCTCTGGCTACAGCTGGAGATGGGATATTGGGCCACACAGATCCTTTGGCCTTGGCACTCCAGCCTGCAGTGCTCCTGTAATTATTCTGTATTTCATGGCTTTGGGGCTTTGTTTTTTTTCTTTTTCCAAGAAGCACAACCGGTCACGCCTGTGTACAATCTCTCTTTTTACCCGGTGACACCGAATCGTTAAGTTAAACCCTCTGCTTACTCCAAACACAGCCATTACATCCATTCTCCTGACCGCCCGGTGAAACCCTACGTTATAAACGGAAAGGCAGCGACCCAGGGAAGCGCCGCGCCACGTTTCCACACCGACCGCCCAGCACCCCGCTGTCTCCCCTTTCACTCCCCCAAAAAAAAACGACCCCCCTCCCCCGGCAAACCGAGCCCCGCCACCCCCATCCGAGCCAAACCGGGTCCCCGTGCCCCTCCGTACTCACCACTCGGTGTGCTCGGCTGCCCGCGGGTTGAACCTGATGTCGCTGTTGACATTGAAGAGGAGGTCGCCGTCGGCGAGCGGGGGCAGGGCGGCGCGGTACAGCGGGTGCT